TTGTGAAGCAAAACTGGCAAGGGAGAAGGGAAACAGAACAGAAAAAGGGAGGAAGCCACCACAGGAGCAGCCTTTGGGAAAGCTCTTTGAGGAGGAACTGCTGGGTCTTTGGAACATAAGTTACATAACTTACAGCTTCTACTCCAAGGATACAGGGCTGCAGTACTCCTGGACCCATCTGTTGCCTTTCAGGCAGGGGATGGAGATTTCTGGTGGTGGTGGGTATATATAACTCCTCCTAGCTCCCTGTGGATGTAAGTAAATTACATGTGCTATCCCTAGAGCAGTCACTGGAAAAAATAATGACACATGTCTGATCTTTTGGAAAAAGAAATACTTTGAAGATGAAGAGGGATACAGGTTCAGGGCCAGAGGGTTCATGGGGAAGCACTGCCAACATCCACTAGAGAGTAATTCTGACAGCCTGGAACCCAAAACCCCTATTCCAGTGAATAATCTGGTCAATAAGAAATTGTATTTTTGTGGTACTGGAGATTGAACCCAGGGCCTTTGCATAGACCTACATTTCCAGCCCTTTAAAATTCTTTTTTTATGTTTTAATACTGAGACAGGATCTTGCTAAGTTGCTGGTCTGGGCTCAAACTTGTAATCCTTCCTAGACATTGGGAAGCGAGAAGAACATGTTCAAATAAGAAGGTGTACAAGAGAGGCGGGGAAGGGGAAGGGAAGAAAAGGAAAAGGAAAAATAAAAGCAGAATGGAAGGGAAAAACACGGAAACAAAGCTCTTATAAATGGAAAGTAGAAGAAGTCTGAAGGGAGGAGAGGAGGTGAACAGGAAAAAAAAGAAGAATTGAGATATATTATGTACAGGTACAAATTCCCTATAATGAATGTGGTCAATATGTACGACAAATATATACTAAAAAAAAAAAAGTTAAAACAAAACAAAAAAACTTGTGATCCTCCTGCCTCAGGTTTCTAGAGTGCTGGTATTACAGGTATGTGGCAGCATGCCTGGTTTCAGGAACATTAAGAACAGTGTGATCATAAGCACATGACTTCTGCATCTGTTTTTTCATAATATACGTAGAAGCACCTGAGGATTATAATGACTATTGCAAAAAGTAAAGTATTTCAACCATGGCACATTGTAAAAGAAATCAATAATTTTGGTTTTTGGAAACCTCTTTTGCACATAGCATGACAATTTTAAAATTGGGCAATGGGCTTCTTTTAGTGCCACAATAACCTTATGGCAGATTCAAATTATATAAATAAGAGTAACATTTGGATGATACAAATATACATATAATAGTAATGCATCAGGGGTTGGTAAAGTACAATGAAAAAGGAAGACAAATAAGAACTTAATCATTCATGGCAGAAACAAAATTATAATTCCTTTGATGCTATCATAGAAATAATTGGAGCTAGAAGTTTGAATACTATTATTGTTTATGGCTAGATATCCTGCAAAAGCCTTATGAGTTCATAGGTGGGGCTTTGGGAGATTTGTTGGATCATGAGAGTGAGGTGCTCATCAGTGGGTAAGTCCACTGATGAGTTTATAGCTTGGTATGATGTTGGAAGGTAACGCCTGGTGAGAAGAGGTGGTCACTGTGGGCTTGATCCGGAAGGGTCTGTATCACTCCTCCTCTCTTGATCTCTCTTTGTTTCCTGTCTGCCCTTCTATGCACTGTTTCTCCTCATGCTGCCCTGTCTTAAATCCAGCTGACTATAGACTAAAACCTGTACAAACTGTGAGCCAAAATAAGCCTCTCTTCCTTTAACTTGTGGGTGTCCAATATTTTGTCTCAGTGAAGAGAAAGGAACTAAAAGAAATAGTCTCTGAATTTGTAATTTTGCATCATTTTAGTCTTTAAATTCACCTGTCGATCAAGAAGACCTATGTTGTTAGTAGGAATAATTATAGCAAAAAAACACTGACAGGGTTGGGCAGAAGGAAAGAAATAGTAACTAAAATGAAAATTCTATCTTCCTAAAAAATATTGAAAAAGGCCATATGGAAATACTTTTATTAGCATTGAGATAATATCAAATTGAATCATAGAAAAACACTAACACTTAAATTTTTTGACCTATAGAAACAGCAACTCATATGATTCCAACTGACAAAGCCTGTTGGAAGATAATCCTTTGTAGACTCTCTTTCTTCATATGTATCTTGCTGGCCAAGAATACAAGGCCCTGACCATTTTGAATCTGGACCACTTCTCAGTTTTGCCTGCATTTAAGCAACCTCCCATGAAGAGGAAGTATCTCCTTCTGGGGTGAAGATCAGTGGGGAGTGGACTTCAAGCTTGGTGTTCTTCTTCTGCAACACATTACGCTGCACATGCACAGGCTACCTGGGCTTTTGTATCATCCCCTTGGAACTTAGGAGCAAAAGGGACTCAAGGCGAAGGTGCTGATGTCCGTCCTGCTTAATGTACTGTGAGAAGTAATGTCTCTTGTCTCTGACCCAGGAGTTTTATGCTTTCTGCTAAAATCCATGAAACAGTTACAAGTTAACCTGTTAGCTTTGAAATTGGGTAAAATAAAATTCCAAATGCAGCCAGGTGTGGTGGTGCACACCTCTCATCACAGCATTCTTAGGAAGACCAAAAGGTTGAGCCCAGTCTGGGCAACTTAGTGACTTAGCAACTCTGTCTCAAAAAGGAAAAAAAAAGTAAAAGGTGTGGATATGTAGCTCCGTGTGAGGCCCTGAGCTTAATCCCCTGTGCCATGAAAGAAAAGAAAGAGAAAAGAAAGAAAAGGAGAGGACAGGAAAGAAAAGGATAGGATAGGAAAGGAAAGGAAAGAAAAGAAAAACAACACAACCTATGTACTACACCACCACCACCAATAACAAAAAATCCAAATCCCAGACACAACAAACACATAGTACAGGATACTGTGAGATTCTTCCGAATGATTACCATTTTATACTACAAGTAACAAATATCCTTGGGAAAAGTCAGTATGGCTGTTAGCATTTTCCTATCGTTACTCTTAGGACCCTTTCACAAAGTAAAAAGCATTCAGAAGAGGCAAACCATGGGTCCTGCCCCCAGGTACTCAGGCCTCAGAGGGTAGGAAGCTCTTGAAAGAAAGAAATGCCTCAAGGAAGCAGTGACAGTTTCCTGAAGTCTGAAAACCTTTCTGAGGGAGGCTTCAGGCAAGCTGATGGACTGAGTTCCTACCTGTTCCCTTCCAACTTCATTTGTTTATGGGCTCAGTCCTTAGACATCAAATAAACTTTTCAGTGAAGAGTTCCTGTGGTAGTCAGGGGTCCCCAGTTATTTAAAAAGAAGCCTTGGAAGCTAAAATATATCAGATTAAAATGATAAAGAGCATCTCTTAGCACAGTTTCTCTGCTTTCTTCTTGAATGTGGCACTGAGCGGTTGGTCACACTAGCTTTCTTCTTTTCGAGGCTGACCATTGATGAAACCTAACCATTTTCCCTGACAATGCCACACTTGTGGAGTTGGCATTTTTATGTAAATAGCTTTCCTCTGATTCATTATGCCCTATTGACCCTGACATTTTCCTTTCTGACCCTTATCAGGCACACACTAGCAAAACACGAAGAAATAAAGCAGACAAAGAAAGTCAATAAAAGGGTTACAAGCAAGAGTGCCTTGTGACTGTGACCAACAAGGAAATTTGGAAGTGGGTGACTGAACACTCGAGGGTGCCCCGTTACGAGTTACAGCTACATTTGTTCAAAGCCTGTCAGGTGCTTACAACCATTTCAAGAAGCCATGTGGAGATACATAGGAAATGACAGCCATGAGTGCTACTGTAAGAGCACTTAACATTTAATAGATGAGATGGCACAATCAAATACCTATATATTCATAAACAGACAATCTGGCTCTTGCTTACCTTTCTACTTCCTCTTTATGTCTTTCATAACATGTGTCACAACCTGTAGTATTTCGTTTATTTATTTGTGTTCTCGTTTAGTATGGCTTCTCTTGACCTGGGAGTTGCCTGGTGTAATGGTGCATCCATGCCCATTATTTTTGACTGCTACTCTGAATCTCACCTGCTGGTGTACAAACTCTAAACAGACAGGGGCCATGGCTGTCTTATTCACCACTGTAACCTCACAGTGGATTCTCCTAAATTAAGTAAATAAAATTTTAAAATAAACATTAAAAACCAGCCACAGCTATATAGAGACATTATGTAACTTACCTTCTGCTGCTACTAACTTATTAGCACGAAATTAAGGGAGAACCTCAAGAAAAATTTTCAAAGAATTTAGGCTAAAAAAAAAAAAAAAAGGTCCAGGAAACCTATTTCTATTTCATTTTTCTTAGTGAATGTTGAGATCATAAATCAGAAATAAAATAGTAGAACATGAAAGGCCTACTGGAATCTCATTATGTGATCTTTAATGAGATTTAAAGAACAGTAGGATTCCACCAGTACTCACAGACTTCTCCAGGTTGAAAGCTGGGTGGAATAATAACAATTGAGTTGAGTCATCCCATGTTATAGCTGAGCTATTCCAATCATAAAACTAAAGCAGCTTGCTCCATCCCTTGATGCTAAGCTCAGCCACATGATTTCCTTTAGCAAATGGTATGTTAGCAAGTATGATGCCAGCAGAGGTTAAAAAAGTGCCCACACACTGAGACATGCCCTAACCCTTTTGCTCCTTCTTCTCCAACAAAACCACGAGTACACACTTGACCTAACATGCTGAAGGAAAAGGCTCGGGGTGCACAGACACAACTCCTCATCCTAGCTAAGGCTGCCCTAGCCTTGCTGAAAGAGTGATCCTGGACAATTTCAACCAGTGGCCTCGACACTGACCACACGTGAATACCTCAGCACAGCCTAGACCAGCAGGATTTCCTCACCGTCCTATATATAGATCGTGTGTCACTGAGTTTAAGAGGGCTTAATTGGTAGCATTATTATAGCAATAACTAATAGTATGCTCTTACAGAGTAATAAAAATTTATTACCAGTAAAACAAATATTAAAATGTCAACACAATTCTTCTTTATTGGATTAGTGATTATTTTTAGTTCAATGATTTGGTTTCTCTACAGCCACCTACACATTCCCTCCAATCACATCCACGTCACTAAAGTTGAGTGGGCCTGGGTAAGATGCATTTAGAGCAGAGAATGGAAGAACCACATCAGGCTCAGGACCACAGAGGTGGACGTCACCTTCCTAGCATTGCTAGAGAGCCAGTGTTTTGAATGTACATCCTCCAAGATTGAGAGCACAGCCTCCATGGCTTCTTCACAGGTCAGCTGGATCTGATCTTCAGGCAAAATAAACCCATGGGTACCATTGTCTCTCAGTTCAAATGTGTAGGAGAAAGGGATCCCAATGTCTCGAGCCCAGTCTCTTGAAGATCCAGACGTGGGATCTAGGAATGAAACATGACAGAAATAGAAACTGGGCTTTGGAAGGACAGACTTCGTTTCTATTTCTGGGAATGAGGCACATTCCATAATATAAAGAAACAGTTTCAGATTAGGATTCCCTTGATAGTTGTCTTCTCCTTTTGCTTTATAGGTATCTCTTGCAGGAAGGGGCCATGTCTTACTTAGCCCCTCCACCCACACAGTAAAGAGCAGAAAATCTGGTTAAAGTTTTTTGATGGAATCAAACTAGCAAACCTCATATTGTAAGGTAAGGGTGAACTGAAATAAGGGCTAACAGAAAATTATTATGCAAATGTTATCGAGGTGGACCTCTGGAAGTGGAGGAGGTAGTGGTTGGGGCTGGGAGAAGCAATGCTCTCTTCTTGCAGCTGAGGTCTTTTCTGTTCTCTCTCCAGGTCCCACCGTGCTTGGCTTTCTTGGCCTGATGGGTCCTCTGGGAATTAGCTGACCACAGGTCAGGAAACAATGTCCTTCCTGTTAACTTTGTGACTTCTAACTTGCCAGCTCTTTTTAACCGAAGCCAGGGGGAAATCTATATTGAAGCCAGTGTATTTTATTTTACTTTTAGCTCACTCCTTATCCCTAGAGAATATAATTTTGGAATTATACAGACTTCCTTTTGTCCTTGGTCATTTTGATTTGCACAACTCCCTGTTGATCTATTCCTTTTCTGCCCACCTTACCCCCCAAACTCCATTGACTTCTTTTATGCCTTAGATACTATCAAAGAGGGAAAAAAAGACACTTACATAAAATATCTGCACTCGATCCAACTCTATAATTGGTTCCATGCTTTGCTTTCAATGCATTTGCTGCCTTCTGTCCAACTCGAATCTGTAGGTGGGAAATGCAGAGACAGATATCCAGTGTTAAAAATAAATCAAGCAATCCAAATGTTGGGTGTTTTGTCCAGATCTATCTCCAGAGTTTTAGGCCATCCTCCCAACTTCCCATTAAACAGCTAGGTAGCTTATTCATACCTGTAATTCATCATATTATGTTCAATTTCATCATCTCTCTCCCAATAAGGTTGTTGTAAATTTCCTGTTTCTTGCATGCTCCCTCAAATCAAGGTAAAATCTTGCAGGCATCTTTGATTCCCTTTTTCTCCAACAGTTTCCAGTGTCGTTGCCCTATGTCAGACTCATTACCTCTCAACTGGTCTGTTGCATCTTCTAATAAGTTTTTCTTCTCATCAGTCCTTATTCAGACTGATCCCACCTGGCTTCCAAATGCAGAGAGCTATAATCTTGATCTTGCTGAAAATGTTCAATAACTTCTTGGTGCTCACTGAATAAAGTACAAACTTCTTATCCTCATTTTCAAGAAAAAATATGGCCCCTAGTTACCTTTCCAACACCATTCTCTGCACATGCACCCTGGATTATAATGAAACTCAAGGTTTTCCACATTCTTCAGACATGCCCAGTGCTCCTTAGACTCTGCCTTTTCTTTTCTTTTCTTTTTTTTGGTACCAGGGATCCAACTCAAGACCTTGTACTTGTGAGGCAGGCGGTGGAAGCATTGAGCTAAATTCCAGTCCCAGTCTCTGCCTTTTCTTGTGATGTCCCTTCTACCTAGAATTCCTACCTCTTATCTCTGCCAGTTCTCCCATTAGGCCTTACCTGATCACCTCATCAGGAGTCTGTCTCTTGGATCACCAATAGTCCTTTGCTCACACCTCTCTTAGAATTCTCTTTTTTTTTTTCCTTATAGATGTCTGAAACGTATCTCACACAGACTTACAGAATTTCTGAGTTGGATGGTACAACTTCTCATACCTACTACGTCACCTTCCGTTGAAAGTCCCTCAGAACTAGATGTTTTCTAAGGTCTCCATCTTGCTCTGTGTTGACCTTTTCCTGAGGTCAGAATCATTATCTGAGGTGCAAGATTGCCTGTGATTATGGATTTTCTGATGCATTTTGTTGCATTCTCTCAACAAACAATCTGAGTGTCCCCACGCTCATTCTGTGTTCTGTCTACCATAGGGTGCATTTTATGACTTCCTCTCAGAGTCTACACCCTGTTACTCCCTGCCTGCTTTGGAATCTGCCATTATGTTGCCCCAGGGGTAGCCTGGCTACAATGGCAGGTATGAAGCTCCCTGACTCTCAGCTAAGGAAGTCTAGTTCTAGATCTTGCTTCTTCATCCCGGGAGCTGTACTACCCAGCTGAATACTAAAAGGTGGCAGACTAGTCCTTGGTACAGTGGATTCTCCAAGAGAAATTAAAAGAAAAAGGCAGCAAGTGTGGTGAAGGGTCATAGGCAAGAGTTGGGGGCAGCATCTTTTAGCTCTGTCTTTCGATGTGGCTGAGATATAAGGAAAAAAAAAAACATGATAGTGAAAAATACCTGTAAGCCTTTGTCTTCTCTCCATTCACACTGAGAGTTCTATTTTTCCATCTACCCATTCTTTTTCTTTCCAAATTAGGACTCTGAGCCTTCCTCAATTCCTGGGTTTGTGCTACTCAGACCCAAGACAATAGATAGGGAAGGCTGAAGAAGTACAGGCATAAAATGAGTTTGACCACTTACCCTGGGAAAAGGACAAGAGCTATTTGTAGAAAGAAGAGAAAATGATAAGAGGGAAGGGAGAGTCTGAGACTTCTGGGGAAAGAAATTCTGGTAAGCAAATGAGAGGGGTGAAAGGATTTGAGTTTCTGAGGTGTATGATGAAATTAAGAGCAAGAGGCCTGGAAAAGCACTTCTGTGACTTACCAACTACGCTCTCTTTTGAAGTTCTCCAAGAGTCACGTAGCTGAGATCTAAATTGTTTTTAATTACTTTTAATTCCCATGTGTTTCTGCTTCTTTGAATGAAACTCTATACTAACTGGTCCCTGAGGATCTTGCCTTTTCTTCAGGATACATGGATTGGCCCTAGGCTCCATTTTTCATCCAAAGTAATCCGTTCAGGGGTTGTTTTTTCTGTTAGCTTGCCCATGACAATTTTCTTTTCCCCATTGTCAGCCTTTACTTATTTTACTTCCCACAGTTCTTTTTTCTCAAATCCTACTGGCTATGGGATGAGAAAGTCTTTCAGGTTTTCCTTTGTTGTTTTTGTTGTTATTGTTAAGAAAAGGTCCTTTGAACCTTATTTTTAAAAAGTTTTTCCATTAGTAATGACTATAGGGGAATAGATAAGAATAGGAAATATATATGAGAAGTGTATACTTTTGATTCACAGCTTATAGATTCTGTCCTTTTGGCGAGGATGAAATAAAACTTCCCTAGACTTCTAACTTTCCCTTCTGTCTCTGCAGGTGAGTTTTTGAGAATATTCTTTTTACCTGACATTATGTCACACAGACAGATAGAGCAAGTATCACCATAGCACTTCTCAGCTCAAAGGTACTTCTAGTAAAATGATTTTAAAACTTCTCTGTCAGGAGAATGCAGTACACATGCTAAAGACCTCTAGCCCGTACAACTCCTTCACTAAATCCAGAAAAATTCCTACAGGCATATATTCACAGGCAGGTACACAAACACTTTGCTAAAGGCTTAGCATGTGTATGGGTAGCACAGAAGGGCAATAGCTTGGGATGGAATGCAGAGGGATGTAGAAAAAGAGTGTGAATGTAAAGAATGTAGGCATGTAAAGCAGTAGCATTTTTATAGCTATCCTAATTTCCAGAACATATAGAAAGGGGCTATAGATACTTACATTTCCCCTATATAGTAGGTGCCAAATTGTCTATCATGCAGTATAGTATAAACCATGATTTCTAAAAACTTTTGGTTTCCTAAATATAGAGATCGCTAGTTTCTGTTGGTTGTAAATACTGTTGAAAATGGAAATTCCCTTGAAGTTTTGAGCTTGATTCTGTGCCATTGTGCACAGTGTCAAAGCCTACTCCTAAGCACCTCAAAGCATTGCCTAGTGGCTTCAGTAAGCTTAACAAGTGGAGAAATTTTCACACTGATGTTTTATTGACAAGTCTTGGAGAAGAATGTTTATGCTAACTCTTTAGTACTTGAGACTGTAAGAAATACAGACACGTTTACTAATACGTATGAATAGTACTAACAATATTTTCGTCTCAGAGTTATTTTCCAGTATTGCCCATACTATTGGCCCAAGTCCCTCCTGCCTTCTTGTTGGCTCTAACTTGTGGCCACAGTGCAGTAGCCAGATATCTGATCAGAAACATGAGACCCTCTAACCTTTGAAGATGAACCTGGTGAAATAGTCATGTATCTGTTTTCCTGAACCTAAAGAGAACGAAATTCCCAAAAAAAGTACTGGGGTGCACAAGTGCTAGTGGAATATGTCTTCCCATAAGGGATCCTTCCATTGGCATAAGGCCCCTTGTCATCAAAAATCTATGTAGAGGCCAACCTCTAGAGATTCCTGTGATCTTGTCACAGTTCCCTTGAAGGAGAAAATAGAAAACTAAAATGAATACTGCAGGAACTGGGGATAAAAGGGGGTTCTGAGCTTCTTACCTGAAACCTCTATTTTTTTTTGTGTTGTTTTGTTTTTATTAAGTTTATTGGTACTTTTTGGTATACAGTGCAGTTACATTCATCATTGGGATCTTGTACCTATACATGATGCATCTTGTTTCTAATTTTTCCCCCATTCCCCTCCCTTCACCCCCTCCACCCTTCCTATGAACAAAGGATTTGTTTCCATTTTTTCCTTTTCTCATATTTTTCCTTTTCCCTTTCCCCTAACCTTCCCACTTCCTCTACTCCTTTAGACCTTTTCTTCCTATTTCATATTATCAATTGTACAAACTGAACCTTATTTATCCTTTTAGTTTTTCACACCAGGAAACTATTTGATATTTACATATGTGTGTCCTGTTTATTTCACTTAAGAGTATGGCTCAATGTGCATCCATTTAGCTATAAATGTCTCTATTTTCTCATTCTTTATGGTGAGTAGTACTCCATTTTGTAGAAAAACCACATCTTCTTTATTCAATCTCCAGTTGATGGGCAATTGGACTGTTTGGCCTTCACACTAAGCTACATATCCTCCAGCCCTTTTTATTTTTTGAGACAGGGTCTTGATAAAGTGTTTAGGCTGGGCTCAAATTTGTGATCCTCCTGCCTCAGCTTCTCAAGAGTGCTAAGATTAGAGACATGCTCTACCATGCCCAATGAGGGAGTTGTCATTTAGTAAGTGTAGAACTTATCTTTCTGGTTGATGAAAATTTTCTGACAAATGGTTAAATAGCACTATGACTATTTTTAACTTTATGCTTAAAAATGGTTCAGATGGCAAATTTTATGTTGGGTGTATTTTACCACAATTAAAAATTGAAGAAGAAAAAACAAGCAGTAAGTATTGAAATAATTCTACATTCACCTTCCCTCTGATTTGTGACTATTGTCCTCAGGTTCATAATAGGGCAAAAAGCCCAGTTCTTTTCAATGATTCTGCTCACCAGTGCTTGGGTAAATACAGCAACAGGAAAGAAAGGAAACAAAGCAGTTTCCCTGCCCCAGCTTGCATCTCACTGGCACTTCCTCTTACAAAATATTCCCAGGCAAATGCTGGAGGAAGAGTTTAGAAGAAAATAGAGCATTGTGCTTAGCAGAAAAGAGAGCAGATACTATTTAGCTGTGTTATTTTAGATATGCCATATTCCACTAACAGCTGGCAAGTTCTTTAAAGCACGATTCAAAAGCTGTAATTGCTGAATGGAGCTTCGAGAGAATTCACAGAAATGGAAGTGCATTCCTGCAGATTATTAACATAATCATCTCATTTATATTATAGGCGAATACCTAAGATGTCTCCCAACTTGATGCTTTATGAAACAGGTAGTTAATTACACAGGTAAAGTAGCATTTAACCCAAAGTCTTCCCAGCAGGCATCTGGCAAGCTACAAAAGGCAGGAAATGAAAGTAAGGATGAACAGAGAGAAGAAAATGGAAGCTAAAGCCAAAAATCTTAGAAAGGGAAATGGGAAGAGAGAAGGCAGAGGTCCTGTGAAGTTTTGCTAGACATCTTGCTGCTCCAGACTTACCAATTCTTCATGGTTACTTGATTTATTTGTGGTGTAGCCATATGGTACAAGAATAAGCTGACCATAAGAGTGTATGGTCAGAAAGCACACGATGTCTTCCTTCTTGCTCTCAATGAGGTCAGCGACAGCTTTAGTCTCTGGTTCAGACTTTGGTCCTGTCCCACAGAATGTTATGCTTTGGCAGTCATTAGATGCACCAGTACCTGGAAAATATAGGAAACCACGAAGACAGCTTCATGATTTCAGTTTAAAAATGACTGAGGGCAAGCGGGCATCCTTGCTCAGGGCATCTGAGGGTGGTATCAGGGTTTACCTGGCTTGTCTTAGTCCTGCATGAATTAGCCTGCTTGGAGAGTCACTGAAGATGGTCATTGGAGGAGGAACTCAGAACAGCAAATGCCACATTTGAATGGCTCAGGAGGAGAATGCCAAGTGAAATGGCATCTCAGTCATCTTTTACTTAATTCTGTAGTGAGCCCTGAAGCAAATGGCTTGCAACCACTTCTTAGGTTCCTAAGTTAGGTTCTGACAGTCTTGTTGGTCTGAGCCTCTTCAGTGTTACTGCCTTGATTCTCATGAGACTGATTTTGCAAGGATTTCTTCATTAGCCAAAATAAAGCCCCTCAGTTGGGCTACTCTTGTGTGCTAGCTAGGTCTACACCCAGCCTCTCCTGTGGAACACTATAACTACAACTCCTGACCACCTTCTGATAATGTAGTCTTACACTACCCACATTTTATATAAGAGGAGACAAAAGCCGAAAGAGGAAGCAATCTTTCCAAGACCATAAAGCTGCCAGGCTGAATTTTAACCCTTACCATCTGGAGAATGGTAATGCTCTTAACCATTCCTGCCTCTTTACTCACTTCCAATTCTTTGGGCATATTGAGATTTGGAAACACAGAAGCGCCATAAGGAGAATGTGTTGGCTCTGTTTACTATCCACCATCCTGCTGTAAAATAATCCCCAAGGATAATGCTGATTTTTCTGCTCTTTATGATGATCTATACATTCTAAAACAAAGTAATAGATTTCAAGTATATTCATATGGGCCTGGGTTTACTTCGTCCTTGTTTAGCCAACCTCACTCGAAGAGGGTTGTGGATGATTCTTACTATATGGATAATATCGTCTCTTCAGGGTGAATAAAATGAGTCAGAATGCCCAGAAAGCTGTAAATTAAAAAAAACAATGATATTGTTTGTAATTCACCTCTTTCCTTGCTTCTCATGAATTCTTCTACCCAAATATGTACTTACTACACCAGGATATATTGAAATTTCTGTTGAGATCTGATCCAAAACATGTGCCATTATTATGGGATGAACGGGATTTCCTCCACAGTCGATCCTGTTAACAGATGAACCAAGAGATATTGCCATCCTAAGGTTTAATACATCACAATGTTATTGGTGTTAGGTGGACTTTGAGTATGAAAAATATTTCCTAGGATTACCTGAAAAATATATCTTTAACTCGTGAAGCTTTATGTGTAACTTTCAATTTTGCAAATGGGTGAACAAACCCCCATAATAGGAACATCTGTACACTCAAAGTGTACAAACATGTAAACGGCCGAACTAGAGTAAATAGTTTGGCCTTTTCCTCATGAGCAGATTAGCTGTGCCTGGGAATGTTATCTGCTTACTCAGAGCAAGCTTCAGTGTCATTTTTCAGGGCCAAGTGATACAAGATGAAAGGGAAATAGCCTGACAGATGGAAAAAGGCTGTTCCAGGTGCATCAGGGATGGGCTTTATATATTTCTGGAAGCAGAAGACTAATGATCAGAGAAGGAGATAAAGACAAGTGTCACCTGCCATGCTCAGAGGGAGGGACTCAATTCACAGATGAGCCAGAAAAGCTGTTCCAGAAAAAGGATTTTGGGGGGAGTGACAGCAGAGAAGAGGAATGAATACCCTTTAGAAAGAGGGACTCTTCCCTGTGGAATGAAGAAGGACATCAGAGACATTGCCAAGAAGAACATTGTCTACTATCCACTACATAAGAAGGCCATACGAGAGGTCTGATCCTGTGTGAATGGCCACATTAGAGAGTGGAGGGTTGTTTAATATTACAGGCCATTTACTACCCTTATGCTTCTAGAACTGACTTGAGGAGGACATAGATTGTTCTATCATAGAACTCAAATTGGGTGATGGGTAGGTCATAAACATTAAGAAGATAGTAGAGAAGAGAAATTAAATTAAGTCAGGCTGGAAAATGGTAATATTTCCAAAACAGTGAAAATATCTATGCTGGATTCCATTCTAAGAAAGCCTTAAACCTCCTCCATTTAAAAATTGACCTCTAGTGTTTGGTTAAAAAATAACAAGTTGATCTTTATCTCAAATGGAGTTTCTTTACATGGCAACAAAGTATTTTTGTAGCTAAAATGAGTGAAGTCAGGACTGTGAACTGGAGTGGTACTTTAGCCAGTAAACACATCCAGGCCCAAATTCAGGTGACCTACAGTTGTCCAAGTGTAGATATAACCATCTATGTTAAGAACTGGAAGCACATAGAAGTCCAGGTTCTTAAGAAACACGCTTATCCTTGAGTTGTCTTTGTAGTTTTGGAGAACCTGGAAATTTAAGAGAGAAACATGTAGATTGAGTTTAGGAAGAAATCTTTCTTATATTTTCTTTCAATTTAATTGTAAGAGCTGACTGTGTGCCCGATCTCCACCCTCCAGTTTTCAAACCCTTCCTCAGTTTTCTTATTCTTTATAGCAGTAGTTCTAAAACTTCATTACATGCCAGCATCTTCTGGAAGACCTACTAAAATACAGGTTGTCCAGTTGTACCATTCTCCCCCACCCCCACTTTCCCTGTGAGCTTCTAATTCACTAGGTTTGAGATGGAGCCAACAGTTTGCATTTCTAGCAAGTTCCCAGTTAATGCTGATTCTGTTGGTCTAGGAACCACATTCTGAAAGCTTCTCTTTGTGGGTTATTTTTTAATACTTGGGTTTCTGAAAAGACTGACGAGAAAAGTATCTTACATTTTTTAAAGGTTTCTTATTACCTAAAGAGGATGGTATAAGAAATATGCAAAAATTCACTGTGCTAGGCATTTCTATATGCCGAGTCCCTTAGTCCACACAGCAGACCCATGAAGTAGTCACTTCATACACTTTTTACAGATGAAAATCTGGGGCTCCCCATGTTAGAAAATTCACCCAGTGTTAGGAAATGAAAAAAAGGCAAACCCAGGAGTCAAACTCATCTCTGATTTCCAAGATGTACCTTCTTCTACATTTTGATATGTTTATCCTCTGAATGCACCAGAAAGATGTCAGGATACTAACTCAGTTTTCAGAAAATTCCATTTCAATAATTTCAATAGTGCCATTAATTCCTCAATAAGTCCTCTCTTAGGTGGAGGACTAATTCAGTAAAGAGATTCATTGTTAAGAGGTGAAAGTAGCATGGATTCTGAGTAGCCCAGAAGTGACAGGTATTTAATGAAACAGCTTACCACTGTATAGAAATCAACGGCACTTACTTCCTTCACAAACCACTGGCAAAAAGCAGGGGCAATCCACTCCCTGGCATGGATTCCACAGTCCATCCAAATGATCTTCTTGGGGCTGCTAGAGGGTTGGCTGATCTGGATGGGGATCCATGCTCCGTTACCAAATGATCACTTATTATTGTAAACCACCATGCAAAGTTACCAGGATTTTCATTCTCCTAGACGTCCCTTTCTTACTCCATTTTGTGGTTTCAAGAACATGGTAAGGATGCTGATGGAGACAGGCAGTTGTCACTCTGTCACTTCTCGCTGTGCTGTATTACTCTCATTCTTTGCCTCTTGCCTTTGTAGTTATTCTCAGACCATGCACTGATTCCTCATGGCACTGATCCAAAGAATGGTCTTTGTTATATTTTAAGTTATTCCCTAACTCCAAATAAAGGCATAAAACCCCAAGTCGTAAGATAAAATGTCAAATTTGTATAAACCTTTATAAAACTTTGTCACGGAGAGTTCACTCAGCTGGCAAAGTGCACAAGAGGTAATGTTCAATAATCAAAGGTATTTAAAAATGGATCTGAATCTGCACTTCAATTTTGTGAAACTGTGACTAGATCAAAATAATACATAATGTCCTGCAACACTGATTAGAGTCCCTTCCCTGAGGGGCTCCTCTGCACTCAGCCAACCCAATCTTCTTTCTTTTCTGTCTGATTGTTATTGTTGGACATCAGTTCAGCCTCATTCCAGCAAGAAAGATGCCCTCCTTCTTCAGTTGAGTGGGTGAGAATTAAATTGGCAATTGTGGATTCTCTTTGGTGGAGAAGAGACTGGGACCAGCTTGTAATAGTCACATCAATTTTGGATTTGTAAGTGGCCTTGATTCATGTTGTTTGTTGAAAGCCCCTGGGAGCTGGACCTAATGGAGTTTCTCTCCCTCTACATGTGAAACTAACAAACTGACATACACGTGGGACTTGGTCTGTCATATTCAAGGAACTTTCTCCTTGTAGCCTCAGCTATCCTTCAGAATTTTCAAGACAATTCTTTAATTTCATTTTTTACTAGTATATGTTTGAATTAATACTATTTACATTTCTTATGGGGAATTGGTACATGTGTATCATGTATCTCATTTTTTAGCCACCTTTCCTCCTCTCTCTCCCACTCCCTCTATTGAGCCCCACCCCATTTGAGAAAAGTCTATAACCCCACTTCCTGTTATCTATCTCTCATTTTGTTCTTAATTTATAGCATTTCAGGTTTTTAACATCCATCTTTCAGCTCAATCTTCTGTTATAATTAACCCTTTTATGAGTACTGTATGTGTGTTAATTACGTTTATATTTATTGCTTTAGAATGTATTCATCCTGCTCTTTGTAATATGGCCTAGGAAGAGGATGCTTAAATCTCATGTTGGCTGGCTCAGCTCAGAGTGTGAGGGTCCATAGAAAATCAGGTTGGCAGACACCCCACACTTAATATGTCATCCATTACTGAATCCCTGGGTAGATTCTATTTCTGAGCTGCTCAATTGTTGTAGATAATTCTCAAATATGGGATTGTTCTTTGTCAGTAGAACTGCCTGCACCGAGTAGTACAAGGACATCAAACTAAACAAAATTCTTAATATCAAATTACTTTTGGAGTGGTTCCTGAAGACAGTTTTGGACTGGCAATATCCATGTACCTGGGAGCTTGACAGAAACACATTGCAGTTCTAAAACTTGAGTGCACATCAGAATTACCTGGAGGAGGGCTTGTTAAAATACAGACACAGAGACTTTATCCCCAGAGGTTCTGACTAAATTGGCCGGAGGTTGCCACTGGGAACATGTATTTCTCTCAAATTTCCAAGTACTGATGCTTTTGGTCCAAGGACCACCATCGAGAAACCAGTGGCTTGGTACAATGGTTATTAATTCTGGCTACATGTTAGGATACTTTGGGGACCCTTCTTGGAACAATGAGGCCAGTGCCTCTGTAGGCGTGGCCTAGGCAACATGGTTACTTGGCAGCTCCAGAGGGTGAATTTAATGTTCATCCAGGCTAGAAACGTCACTGGTCCAGAAGTGGGACCCCAGTGGTGCTGGTCCTCTGGAGAATCACTATCAGACCCTACATACTTCTCACCATGTCACATACAAAAGGGATATGAGGACTAGAATACATGGTGTCCCACTGACTACGCAACTGTCCATGTCTGGCTGTGTAATCCTGTTCAAGTTACCTTACTTCCCTGGTTCTTTGTTACCTCAACCATGAAATAAAAGAAATAAAAATGAAGGTTGTCTGAGTTTTTTAAGCATTTTTATGAAAAAAAAAACCTTCAAAAAAAGAACATTAAAAAACATTTAAGGGCTGGGAATATATAGCACAGTGGTGCTGTTCCTGCCTGTCAAGGTCCTGAGTTCGATCCTTGGTACTAAAAAACCCTTCCAAAATCTACTGAAAATACAGATGAAAAATGAGCTTACTCTGGTGAAGCATGAGCAGTGTGTGATCCACTGCTGTTTTTAGGCCCTACCCCCCTGCCCCAGTCTCTCCCACACAATTAAGGTATAAGCATCAGCAATCTTGAAGTTTAGAAACCCAGTTTGAAGCAGACCTTCTGCACTGCTTCTTTGAACTTTTTTCACATTTCTAATAGAGCTGAATAGTAAATAGCATCCTCAGACCTCTCCCAGTAAGGTCCTTCTCAGACTTTGAACTCACCTTCAGATAATACATGGGTCGGGACTCATAAGTCATCCCTAGGAAATGCTGTGTCACCACTTCTGCGAACTTCTCACTGACCTGGCTCATCCACTCATAGATCTGAAACAGCCCAGAGGACATGGCTATCAACAGCAAGATTCCTCGACTGACTCTGATTATGATGACTCTTTCACTGGGGCATCGGACTCTGTACCCTGCTCTACACTACATAGCTATGTGGTCAGCAAAACAGAAAACTGAGCCAAGGCCTTATTACCTCCCATCTTTCCTTTTCTTTAAAGATTTACCCTCTAGGAAGTACTTGGGACACCATACTGAACTTTACAGGTATATAATTGGTAATAATTTCAATATTAATAAATTTTCACACGGCAATCAGGAGGTACATAGTCATGCCACAAGTTTCAGGTCAAACTCATTCTGTGAGTGAGACCTTCTTTGGTCTTCTTAGATCCCGATATGGTTTGGATGTTGTTTAAACTCTAAAGGCTCTTATATTAGAAACTTAAACTCCTGTGTGGTGATGTGGGAGCTGCTGCAGCCCTCAAGGAGTGCAACCTACTGTTGTGTCCTTGGGTCATTTGGAGCCCTGCTTCTCTTCGGAGTGAAATGTGATGAAAGCCTGAGGCTGACCCCTGAGTTTCTCTAGCCTCCTGCTTTGATCCTGCCATTGCTATCCCCTAGGAGATGATTCAGCCAAGGCTGGTGGTCCTCACCAGAGATTGTATCATGCTGTTTGGACTTTCAATTCCAAAAATTTTGAGCTAACCTTTTTTTTCTTTATAATTCCAGCCTCTCTCTGGTATTTAATTATAGTAAAGAAAGGCAGACTGGTACACCAACAATATCCTTTGCTAATGTTCCAGAATTAAGCAAGACTTGTATATGCTCTTCTTTAAACATGCCAACAGAAGTTTCTAACCCCATATTTTGAGTCTCGCTAAGTATTCTAGCATAGATCATGATTCCCCACATCCTCCTCCCATATGTCCTTTCTCACCTCTGCCATGGAGTGGTATTTGGTATAGGAATAGATCTCCAGGCTCTTGCCCAGACTCACTGTTGTGGCCATAACCTGTTTTCCGTGCAATGCTAAGGATCTGCAAAGGGAAGAACAAAAGGAAGAAAATTTAAGAGGGTAGGATATCTGAGGGTTAGGGGGTTGGTGAGAAAAGTAGTAGAAAGCATTGTATGCAGGATTTGAAGTACAAAAGCTAATATTGGAATCTTGACTCTGTAATTTACTAATTATAATGTTATGGGCAATTGTTTAGCCACTTTAAGTCACAATCTCTTCATCTATAAAATCAGGACAATCATTCCACTCTTTCAGGGAAGCCAGGATAATTCAATAAAATGTAGATTTTCTAAAAAGCTGTTTTAGATGTACAAAAGAAAAAATAGCTAAGATTTATAGAACTGAAACTTTTTATGAGACATACTCTTGTTCTAAACAATTTAAATCTCATTTGCTTCTTTCTAAAACTCTGCAATAGAGTCTCTTATTATCTCTATTTCAGAGATGAAGAAACTGAATCACAGTGAAAGTGCTATTGGGATTTCAGCCCTGAAAAACTGACTGAGAAGCCTGTAACATTAACTACTGTGATGAGTAGCATGTGAGAACTTTCTATAGTGGTTTATCTTGTGTTTAATAAAACTTTATTTTTAGACCACTTTTAGCACAATCAAGTCAGGTGGTTCCCCTGGCCTGTGTCCCTACACATGCAACACCCCCAGACCACAGACACCCTACAACAGTGGTACATTAGTTACGGCCAGCGATCCTATGTGGATGCATCGCCACCCAAAGTCCAGGGTTTACATTAGGGCTCATGCGGGTTTGTATTTTTTATTGTTTTGGACAAGCATTTGATGACACATATCAACCATTATAGTGTCATAAGAATAGTTTTACTGCCCTCAAAGTCCTCCATACTCTGCTGATTCAACCCTCCCTTCTCCAACCCTTTGAACTATTTATTCTTCTCTGTCTTGGTAGTTTTGTGTTTTTCATAACGTTATAAGTTGGAAGCATAGAGTGCATAAATAGCCTTTGCAGACTGCCTTCTTCCAGCTACTAATGCGTGTTAAACTCCCTCCATGTTTTTTTCATGGCTTTAGAGCTCACTTTTTTCTTGGTGCTGTGTAATGTTCCACAAAGTTAGTCCATTCACTGACTGAAGGACATCTTGATTACTTCCAAGTTTGGGCTTGGAAGCTCAAATTATGAGTAAAGCTTTCATACACTCCATGTGCAGATTTTTATGCGCACATATTTTCAGTTCCTTTGAGTAAATAGTAAGGAGTGCACTTGCTGAATCATACAGTAAAATTATGCTTAGTTTGGTGAGAAACTGCCAAACTGTCTTCCAAAAAGGCCATGCCATTCCACATTCCCACCAGCAGTGAGTTAGAGGGCTGCTGACTTCCTTCTCTTGTGAGTATTTGGTGCTGTTGGTATTTGGATCTGTGCACTTTAATTAACAGATAAGTAGTGACAAATCATTACTGTCTTAATTTGCAATTCTTTAATGATAAATGATGCAGTGTACCTTTTCTTATGCTTTTTTGCCATCTCTCTACCTTCTTTGGTAAGGTTACCTGTTTAGGCTTTTGTCCACTTTTTAATCAGGTTGTTTTTTTTTTAATTAGGTGTTTTAGGAATTCCTTATATGTTTTAGATCACAGATTTTTTCCAGCTGCACTTTTTGTAAACATTTCTCCAGCTTGTCTTCTCATTATCCTAATGTTTTCTTTTGAAGTAGAAGTTATAATTTTAAAGAAGTTTGGAGTATCAATTATTCCTTCCATGGATTGTGCTTTTTTACTGTATTTAAAAGGTAGTCAGCACACTAAAAATCATCTAGGCTTCCTTCTAAGTAATTATCTAGAATATTATAGTTTTGCATTTAACATTTAAGTCTATAATATATTTTTAATTAATTGTGATTCACATTTTTATAATATATTTTTGAATTAATTGTGATTCACATTTTTATTAATTGTATTTCACATTAATTGTGATTCAATTTATTGTTGAAAAGAATAATATTTCTTGCTTTGTTGTATTATCTTTATTTCTTTGTCAAAGATCAGTTGACTACATTTACATGAATCTACTTCTAGGTACCCTGTGGTTTTGCCTTCATCTATTTGTGTTTTTGTTTGCTGATGCCACACTCTCTTGATTACTGTAGCTGTATATTAAGTCTTGAACTCAGTGTCAATCTTCTGACTTTATTTTTCTTCAATATTGTATTCGCTATTCTAGGACTTTACTTCTTCACATACTCTTCACAATCAATTTGTTGAAAATCATGATATAACTTGCTTGGACTTTGAGTGGGACTTCATTGAATCTATACATAGAGTTAAGAAGAACTGATATCTTGACAACATTGTCTTTCTATGCATGAACATAATATATATCTACACTTATTTAGCTCTCTTTCATGAAAGCTTAATAGTATTCACTATATACATCTTGTAGAAATTTTGTTAGATTTATACCAACATATGTCAATTAAGGGGTACTATTAGTGTAAATGGTAAGATTTTTTTATTTAAATTTTGAACTTCACTTATTCATTGCTAGCATATAGGAAATCAACTGATTTTCCTATGTTGTCCTTGTATCCTATAACTTTGCTATGATTGCTTATTAGTTCCAGGTAATTTTTGTTGTTGTTGCTGATCCTTTCTGATTTTGTAAACACATGCTCATGCCATTTGTAAAAAAGGTAAGTTTTATTTCTTCCTTCCTAATCCATGTGTCTTTTATTTAATTTTCTTGTCTTATTGCATTAGTAGGGCTTTAGTACAAGGTGGAAAATAGTGTTGAGAGAAGACATCCTTTTATTGATTGATCTTAGTGGGAAAGCTTTTAGTTTCTTACCGTTAGGTAAATTGAGGAAGTTATACCTCTTTTTATTATAAATGAGTGTTGATTTTTTTCAATGTTTTTTCTGTGTCTGTTGATATGCTAATGTAATTTTCCTTCTATTATATATAACATCAGTTGATCTTTAAAAGTTGAATAAGCCTCTTATAATTGGGATAAATCCCATTTGGCCAGGGAGTATGCCTCTTTTTAATATGTTGCTTGATTGGATTTGCTGATGTTTTCTTGAGGATTCTCACTTTAACTTCCAGAAGGAATTGTAGAGAATTGGAATAATTTCTTCCTAAAATATTTGGTAGAATTCACCACTGAACCCATTGTGCCTAGTGCTTTCTGTTTGAGAAAATTATTAATCATTGACCAAATGTATTTAATAGTTATATACTTGTTAGTCTTGTTCCACCTTTTTACTTAGGATTTATCTTTTGGTAAACAGCTTAATACTATCATTCAGAGCCTTGTCTAAACCAGATATTGTGCTAGCACCTAAGAGAACATATTCACACACAGTATGTAGCTTCCTATTGCAGCCATGTAAAATGTTATTATTCACATTCTGTAAATGAAGAAACTAGACCAGAAGAAATTAAGTAACTTGCAAGGAGTCAGAACTTGCAAGGAGATATATAACTAGTACTTATCTCTAAGGCATACAAAGAGTTGATGAATAGTTTAGTTGCCAAAAGGCTTTATTGCAGAAATGGGGTCACATTTTCATTGCAAAATTATATAGCTAATAATTCCTTTACCTGGAAAATATATAGAGAGTAGTTACTGTGTTAACGGCACTGGGATGTGAGCTTTTGGAGATGCTGGGGTGCGGAATTTTGTATAGTGGTCCTGGAGAGGAGGAGGAAATGTGTTAGGGATCTAGTTAGCTAATTTTCAATGGCTTTCACCTATTTCATCACATTTTTGAACTTTTATGGTATTTCACCTTAGTAGTACCACTCCCAAAGAATTCTTATGAGATTAAATAAACTAGTCCATTTAACAATGAGTAGTTTCTTAGAGTTAATTTCTAATAAATGTTAAACATAGTAGTTCAAAACAAAGCAAAATCCCTATTTAGCTGCAACAACATTAAAAATAATTGTACAGCAAAAGGGGAAAAAAATGAGAACCAAGACCTGTCATGTAAAGGTACAAGATCCCAATAATGAATGTAACTGTACTGTATACCTAAAATGTACCAATAAACTCAATAAAAGAAAAAAATTATACAAAGAAAAATTAAGCCATGCAACTAGTATTTTTCTCAAACTATGTCAAACTACAAAATATTTTGACAGTATTAATTAAAACAAATTTCACTCATGTCTACCTAAGTCCAATAGTACATATACTCTATTTAATTTTTTACCTAGTACATCTAACATCATGTTCCACCATTAACTACTGTAATGGAAGTGAGTTACTCCACACAATTCTACCACTCTAAACTTGCAGTTACATGCGTTATTGTTAATTATTAACAATACTAGATCTAACAATTTGAATTTAACAGAAGCTTTTTGACCTCAAACTTGTGAATGTTTTACTATATTTTGAACAAATTTTATTATCTTTTGCTTGCTTAAATGGAAACCTCATGAGATAGGATCATCTAGAACACTGAATATGAATTTTAGAAAGAGATTTAAAGAAATATTATTTATATTGTAATAATTTAAGAAAATATATTTATTCATGTTTTTTCATAGATTTATTTCTAATGTTTGTCTTTTCATTGTATTTTTAAATGAACAACTGTGCTTCCAAGTGAATAATTTCAATATAAATATAAATATTGGTGCAAGTAATATATTGAGATTGATTGATTGGAAAAGTTTTTATCTTTATACTATTTATAAAGAAAATACATATATTCCCTAATGTGTTTAAAATTCATGAAAGTCCACTCAGCATTTAAATTTTTAGGAGCACACTTTATGTCTTTATTAGCAAATCAGCAAATATACCTTGCAATAACACTAGTTAGCCTTCAGTAAGTAATATATTCTAGGAACTGGTGAAACTATTTTGTATTATCTTATTAACTCATTCAAGAATCTAATGGGTGTGAATTATTACTTTTTACTTATGTATTGTTATTTTATTTATTAATTATTATTTTTATTACTTATTACTTTTAAAAAATAGTAATAGGTAGTAGCAATAAAAATTTCTCTCTTGAACTTTATAATCCTCTTAACA